TGCCCCGTAACCTGTACCCATTGTCATTAAAATAAAAAACTCGTAATATTTATACATAGATAAGTATCTGTACAGGGTGGCGCCTCTCATACGCTGCGGAAGCAGAAAAAAAGTTTTAGCAGCATATGTAGGTTAACTGAAAGCATTTTATAAAAATATATTGAGTTATACACGGTATCCCAAAAAAAAGTTACACATCAAAGTTGTGTTTTTTCTAATGGAACACCCTGTATATTAACTGATTTTCTGATTCTAGGAAAAAAATAAAGGTGAGTTTTATTAAAGAAGCATATGCCCAAAATCTAAGAATTTTGAGATATTCCACATTTTGTGAAAACGAAAAGTAGATTTTAAATTTTGATAACAGCTACTTAAATTTTAGTTGACTATGTATAGCCTGATATTTAATTACAGTAAACATTGTATGTTAAACCAAATTGAAATTTGACCCGAAAAGTTATACAGGGTGAGACAAAATTAATATGGAACATTAGTCACTTTTAAAAGCAAGTTACTACTTTATTTTAAATGGAACACCCAGTATATTTTTCCGGCGTTCAATGGAGAATTTATATGTCTTCAAAATATTATTAAGGTTGCCTACCCCTCAGACAAAGATTGTCCTAGATATTTTAATTTTTATGATTTTGCGTCAGTGGATCTTTATTATTTGAAAAAATCTAGAGGGCTGTGTGATATACCTTTTGTTAATTTAAGAAAAAATAACGATTGTAGTGTAAAATACTCAACGGTAATAAAAAGTACACGTTTAAATCATATTTTAATTATTACAGAATTAAAACTAGATATAAAACTATAATTATGTGACAAAAATTAGCTAAAATGAAATCAAATACTCAAAATGCTTCCTTTCCTGTTAACTGCATAAAATGATTGTCTTTTCAAGAGGATCTTTTCATTTTAAAAAGCGTTATGTGGAGTTCTACCTCGAAAAGCAGCTACAATAATTTCTCTCATGTTGTCGACAATAGTTGGTCGAGTTTTGTAAACACTGTCTTTAACATATCCCCATAAAAAACAGACTAGATAAAATCAGGAGCATTTAAGTATTCTATTAATAAAATAATAAAATAATAAAACTAATGGAATCATATCATTTCTATGATGTACGATAAGTTTGCATTTTCGGCAAATTTCTGAGAATTTTTTTTGCTTTAACTGACACGAAATGATAACTAGTTGTTAAAGTTGGACTAATTAGACAGCTATGTTGAAGCAACGTCAGACATATCACAGCCACCTAGATTTTATCAAATAATAAGGATTTACTCAGATCAAATCATGTAAATGAAAATATCTAGGAAAATATTTGTTTGAGGGGTAGGCAACCTTAATAGTATTTTGAAGAGACGTGAATTCTCCATTGAATATCGGAATAATATACTGGGTGTTCCATTTAAAATAAAAGAGTAACATGCTTTTAAAGGTGGCTAATGTTCAATATTAATTTTGTCTCACCCTGTATAATTTTTTGGATTAAGTTTTAATTTGATTTAAAGTACAATGGTTAATTTAACTATATATTAGGCTATACCGGGTAAATTCCATTTTAGGTAGCTCTTATTCATATTGTAATTTTAAAATTGTTCTTTATTTCTAGAAAATGTTAAATATGTCAAAAACCTTACATTTTAGTTATATACTTCTCTTATAAAACTCACCTTTATTTTTTTCCCAGAATCCGAAAATCAATTAATATATAGGGTATTCCATTACAAAAAACACAACTTTGATATGTAACTTTTTTTGGGGACACCCTGTAGAACTCTCTATATTTTTAAAAAGTGCTCTGAATTAACCTACATATGCTCACAAAATTTCATTTCAATACAAACTGTCGTTCTCCTTGGAGCCTCCGCGGCATATGAGAGGCGCCACCCTGTATAGAGTAAAATTTGAAATAGTTAGCATTCGGCAACTAGCAAGTAACGTCTATTCGTCTAATTAAGATGGCTTCAAGTTCAAGTTTTTCTGCAATTCATATTCAACGACTTAGCAAAAGTGCATATTTCTTGCGGGAAAAAACATTAATCCTGAACGTTCATGATGCTCTTGTGCACCAAAACCCCGCAAGTTCTGTTCGTGACATAATTACGAACTGTGCCAATATGATAGGGGTAGGAGAATCAACGATTTATAGATTTTTACGTGAGAGAAAATGCCGGAACCTCAGTGAGCCTATTCCTCATCCGGGGAAGAAACCATTAGAAATTGACGACGATGTTAAAAACAGAGTTCGTAGAAAAGTACATGGTATGTATTTCGCAAAAGAAATACCAACGTTGGACAAGATTGTGCAAGCCGCCCAGGATGACGAAAACCTGCCACAACTATCAAGAACTAGAGTATGGAGAGAATTCTACATGGAATGAACTTTCGGTGGGAAAATCAGAATAGAAAATCTTTTCTTATTGATAGGCCGGATATTGTTTGCTGGAGACGGGAATACTTAAGGTCAATCCGAAAATATCGCAACGAATATAAGAATATTTTCTATTTGGATGAAACCTGGCTAAATGGACACACCGTATCGAAAGTCTGGCAAGTGTAAGAGTCTTGTTTTCCGTTAAAAAATTGTTTATATTAAATTGTGTTATTTTAAGAAATAATATTTTATTTGAATCTCTAATTGACTTTTCTTGACCGCATGTATAAAATGTCGTTTCCTAGACGATGCGGTTTGCATTGTTGATGATTATTTTGACTGACGTCGCCATTTATCAAAATAGCTATTTATGTAACTAGTACCTAAAATGATGTTTTTTAGGACGAATCATTACTGTTTGCGGACGAGGCGTTAGCCGAGTCCGAAATAGTAGATGAGTCCTAAAAAACATAATTTAGGTACGTGTTACATACACTATTTTTTGTCATACGCTTTTTACAGTTTTTTAGAACGCATATTTGCAAATTTTCCATATTTGAAATTATAATGTTTGAAAAAGTTGGCTTATAAATTCATATCTTAGTAACGAGTTTGTTTATTTCATCGCATTTTGACATGTCATTCGAAATTTGTCACAAAATCACACAAATTCATCAACAATTTTAAAATGTTCCAAAATCCCGAACATATTGCTAATAAGGCCAAAGAAATCGTGTTGGATTTACTTCCTGTGAAGTCTCGTGCCATTTACCAGAAAGAATATGATGTTTTTAATGAATGGAAAGACAAAAAAATGGCGTATTCGTTGTAAATGAAGATGTATTGCTAAATTATTTCCACGAAAAAGTAAGTACCTAGGTACCTATTTAAAAGAGGCTTTTAAATTAAAATATTCTTAAATTACAGTCACAAACATTCAAACCATCGTCAATTTGGTCGAAATATTCCATGCTGAGAGCAGTGTTAAGTGTTAAAGAAGATATTTATATTGACAAATTTCCAAAACTTATTGCTTTTTTTTGAAGAGGAATTCGGTTGGTTACGAGCCTAAAAAGTCTAAGGTTTTGTCCATAAAAGAGATCGGTGATTTTTGGCCACGGCTAGTGATGAAACTTATTTACTTACTAAGGTAAGTTTGCGATAATGATTTTAAAATATATAGATGGTTTCTTATTCCATTGTATTTGATTTTTAGGTAGCTCTTGTCATTGGCCTTTGTGGAGCATGTAGAAGAGAAGAATTGTACTCTACGAGTGCAAGACATCATAGAAAAAGACAACAGCTGCCTTTTAGTTACCCTTGCGGATACAAAAACTAATATCAAAAGAGTGTTTCCGGTGGTGAACGAAGGGAACGTTGTCAATCCAGTTGAGTTGTATAGAAAATATGCTTGTCTTAGGCCAAAAAATGTACCACATGATTATGTCTTCATCTCTTATCGTAAAGGAAAATGCACCGTGCAACGAGTCGGCATTCATTCATTTGGGAAGATGCCATCGATTGTAGCAGCATTTTTAAAGTTGTCGAACCCAAACGAATATACAGGTCATTGTTTCCGACGTAGTTCTGCTACTCTTGCTGCAGATGCAGATGTGGATTTTACATCGCTGAAACGCCTAGGAGGTTGGAGGTAAAAATTTTAATATTTTCCGATCTTGTTCTAAACAACAATAATTATTTAGGTCGTCCACAGTGGCCGAAGGTTACATAGAAGAATCTATTGAGAAAAAGAAGAAAGTTTGCAAACTGCTAATGGGGGAAAAGAAAATCGCGACCACTTCCACGGATGTATTACCAAGTACATCATCGTTCGCATTTACTCCACCTCATCAGAAAGTAAATTTACCTGCCAATGGAGGAGTCGTTTCGATTGCAGATGCAAGTTTTCAAAATGCACAAAATTGTTCATTTCATTTTTATTTTTCCAAATAACTTAGCTTTTGATATTGTTAGTATTTAATAATTTAAAATCAAATACAATGGAATAAGAAACCATCTATATATTTTAAAAATCATTATCGCAAACTTACCTTAGTAAGTAAATAAGTTTCATCACTAGCCGTGGCCAAAAAATCACCGATCTCTTTTATGGACAAAACCTTAGACTTTTTAGGCTCGTAACCAACCGAATTCCTCTTCAAAAAAAGCAATAAGTTTTGGAAATTTGTCAATATAAATATCTTCTTTAACACTTAACACTGCTCTCAGCATGGAATATTTCGACCAAATTGACCAGATGGTTTGAATGTTTGTGACTGTAATTTAAGAATATTTTAATTTAAAAGCCTCTTTAAATAGGTACCTAGGTACTTACTTTAAACAAATAACTTAGCTTTTGATATTGTTAGTATTTAATAATTTAATTATAAATATATGTATAATTTTATGTGATTTTGTGACAAATTTCGAATGACAAAATAAAACAAATTAAATAACGAATTTAGACATTTTGTCCATAAAGGTTGCCATGACGACCTTTACGGCCTAGGCCGAAGAAACATTTTACGGACTGAAATGAGTCCGTAAAATAGCTGTTTTGGGAGCGTATGACAAAAAAATATTAAATTCAGATTATAATGTGTGGAAAATGTTTCTGGGACTGAATAGAAGGAATGAAGTATTATACAGGTGAGTGTATTTTGTTCACTCACGGGCATTACTGGGATTTGTATGGGAGTAGTTTAATATTATTTAGTTAACAGTTATTGAGCTTTAGTAGTAGATAGAGAAGGGTATTTTAGTATTACTTTTGTATGTGTGTGTGTTTTATAGTAGACAAGTATTTAACAAAGGGCATTTTAATATTGTTTAGTTAAAAGATAGATGTTTATCAAAGAGTGTTTTAGTGTTATTTATTAGAGATACGTAATGGACAGCTATTTATCAAAGAGTATTTTAGTAATATTTATTGGGTGTGATTTATAATACCTGGCAAATTATCAAATGGTATTTAGTATTATTATTTTGGAGTGTTTTATATTTTTACGTATGACTCAAATTGTTTAACAACAATATTAAGCTATGTCGCTTTGTGGCCATCCCTTTTGTGCGTGGGAAAGACGCCTTGTCGCTTAGCTGCGGAACAACAATATTAAGCTCTGTCGCTTTGTGGCCATCCCTTTTGTGCGTGGGAAAGACGCCTTGTCGCTTAGCTGCGGAACAACAATATTAAGCTATGTCGCTTTGTGGCCATCCCTTTTGTGCGTGGAAAGACGCCTTGTCGCTTAGCTGCGGAACAACAATATTAAGCTATGTCGCTTTGTGGCCATCCCTTTTGTGCGTGGGAAAGACGCCTTGTCGCTTAGCTGCGGAACAACAATATTAAGCTATGTCGCTTTGTGGCCAACCCTTTTGTGCGTGGGAAAGACGCCTTGTCGCTTAGCTGCGGAACAACAATATTAAGCTATGTCGCTTTGTGGCCATCCCTTTTGTGCGTGGGAAAGACGCCTTGTCGCTTAGCTGCGGAACAACAATATTAAGCTATGTCGCTTTGTGGCCATCCCTTTTGTGCGTGGGAAAGACGCCTTGTCGCTTAGCTGCGGAACAACAATATTAAGCTCTGTCGCTTTGTGGCCATCCCTTTTGTGCGTGGGAAAGACGCCTTGTCGCTTAGCTGCGGAACAACAATATTAAGCTATGTCGCTTTGTGGCCATCCCTTTTGTGCGTGGGAAAGACGCCTTGTCGCTTAGCTGCGGAACAACAATATTAAGCTATGTCGCTTTGTGGCCATCCCTTTTGTGCGTGGGAAAGACGCCTTGTCGCTTAGCTGCGGAACAACAATATTAAGCTATGTCGCTTTGTGGCCATCCCTTTTGTGCGTGGGACAGACGCCTTGTCGCTTAGCTACGAAACAATATTAAAATATTTAACTATTTTATATACTCGATTATGGTGATGTGATCATGTGCGTTTTCCAGTGATGCTCAAGTATATTTTATTTTTATAGATTGCAAATTGCGTGATCATAGAGTGAGAGCATTACACAAGTGTCCCGGCATCTAAGGTGAGTTTAGCTTCTTTTGTTTATGTTGTTTGAATATTAAATTGATATTAACACCATTCATATATTATGCTATATAAACAAAAAAAAATATTATATTTTTCTTACGCGCTCTTACACAAGATAAAAATATAGTGAATTCCCGACAAGCTGTCATGGAGGGTTGGTCAACGGGATTCAAACTTCCGTCTGGAAAGGGACGCAGGCTTATTATAACCCATACAGGCAGTGAAAACGGATTTTTGGATCAAGGATTATTGGAATATCAATCTAATTCAAGCAAAGACTACCACGAAGAAATGACGGCTGATGATCGAATATATTCCCCAGAATTCAGTTATTGTAATGGATAACGCCAGCTATCATTCTCGATTAGTAGAGAAGCTTCCTACAAGTTCATGGAAAAAAGCGGCGATAATTGAGTGGTTGCAGTGTAAAGCCTTAAATTTCGATGATGACGAAAAAATAACTTTTGCAAATTGTTAGACAGCATAAAGCAAAGTTTAAAAAATTTGTAATCGATGGGATGGCAAAAGGTAGAGGTATTATTGTACATCGCTTACCCCCTTACCATTGTGAACTGAACCCAATAGAGCTTATATGGGCACAAGTCAAAGGTTATGTTGCCAGGAACAATAAAACTTTTAAACTTCAAGAAGTACGACAACTTTTGATGGATTCATTGGCGAATGTGACTGCCGAAAACTGGCAAAGCGTCATAAAACAGAAATCGAACCGTTAATTATTAACTTAGGACAAGACGATTCTTCAGATTTCTCTGATGAAGAATTTAATTAACAATGCTGTATATACGAGTATTATAGTTAAAGTAATGTTCACCTGCAATAGTTTATTATTATTTTTTTGATTTTTTACAAGAATAATATATGTGTGTATATAAATTTTAGTGCATAATTACTTTGTATTTTCATTATAATAATAATTATAATAAACGTTAAGTAAAACATCATAAATAAAAAACCTGTTTTACGATTATGGCTTCATTTGCATTTTATAACCTATTGTTATTTGACCGACTACAGGGTGGTTTGGGTCACAATTTCTTTCTTCTTAGTCTAAATACAATGCAAAACATAAATAAGAGATAAAATTTGTTGACACACCCGACCTCCGTTTTCCGTTTATTATAGGCGCTCTGTGCTCTCAGCTCCATTGGAACTAACTTTAGGCAGCATAAATGAATGAATTTATTCTGTTCTTAGGTTTTTAATGAAGTATTATTTAATTATTGTTTAAAATATTATTTGAAAAATAACTGACTCTTACAATATTAATTGATACAGGTGCAGGAATTTCTATTTTTAAAGAAAACACAGTTAAAAAATCTCCACAAAGAATACCAGAAAATGTTTGAATTCAAGGAATTACTGACGAGAAATCTATACTAATATATAAAATCCTTAAGTGACTGACATACTGATTTATCACGACCCTGCTCAAACCACTCAACGTAAGAAGTTCAATTTTGGCATACATTGATTCTAGGGTGTAGAGGTTCGATAAGAAGGGATTTTTCGAAATTCCAGTTCCAAGAGGGTGAAACCACCCTTCAAATATTACAATATTTTTTATTTATAAGTTTCCGAAAAAACCCTTAAACACGTATATTTTATTTTGTTTTTTTACATATTTTAAGATTTTTTAACAATGTGTACAGGGTGTTTCGAAAAATCTGGTCATTGATTAATCAGGATCCTGCTTAAATCGCTTGACTTAAAGAGCTGATTTTTGGAAAACAGATTGACTTTAGGGTGTAGAGGTTCGATAAGAAGGGATTTTTCGAAACTCGAATTCTAAGGGGGTGAAACTATCCCTCAAATATTAAAATATTTTTTATTCAAAAACCGGTGAGTTTTTCGGAAAAACTCTTAAACACCTATATTTTATTCGGTTGTTTTACATATTTTAAGATTTTTTATAAATATTACAATATTTGTTATTTAAAAAACGGTTAGTCTTTCAGGAAAACGCTTGGACAGGCATAATTTATTTGTTTTTTTTACATATTTTGAAATTTTTAAAAAATCATACAGGGTGTTCCAAAAAGTTCGGTAATTTCTTAACCACGATTCTGCTTATACTGCCTGACGTAAAAAGCTTATTTTTGGCAAACGGATTTTTCGAAAGTCAAATTCCAACGAGATGAAACTACCCCTCAAATATTACCAAGTTAGATAATAATATCGCCATATTGCTTTTTCTCATGCTGTTTGTATGTTAATGAAAATTCTTGCTTTGCTTTATCATCACCATTACAAATGATTAATTCGACGCGAACGAAGCCGCTAGTACGCGCTGGTTATTAATAACTCAGTCTACTTTAATTCCTTTTAAAACAAATGATCCTCACAAAGTTTTTATTTACAACTTAGATATAGACTTTGACGGAATCTTAGGATCAGATTTCCTTGAACATTATAAGATTAAACAAACTTACCTAAGTGAAGTTTGATCATAATTATATGACCGCCTCTTCCGAATAGATCACTATGTAGTTCACTCTCTCGCCGTAAGGTGGAGCCACGCATTTTAAAGCCAAACAAAAAATTGTGTCGATCCATACCCTTTCCCGGAATATATCAGGCCGGGCCGTCTTCAATTCATTACTTCAAAGCGGGAAACTGTTGCGATAGAATAGATCACGGGTTCCGGGAGGGAGGGAGTGATCTATTCGGAAGAGGCGGTCATATAATTATGATCAAACTTCACTTAGGTAAGTTTGTTTAATCTTATAATTATATTTCCCGCCTCTTCCTCTTAGATCACTATGTAGATGTTCAAAGTAGAGCAACCAGTTTTAGTAAGGAATAAATAAAACCTATCACTAGAAAACTTTATTTATTCTGGTAAACAAAAAATATATATATATATATATATATATATGTTATAAATTTTTAAAGAAAAAACCCCCTAGATTATACTTCTTTTCTAGGCCAACTTACGCACTAAATGATTATACTTAATAACAAATTGTCCTTAATAGTAAATTTAAAAATATATATTTATATTTGAAGGGATTTAAATAATTATTCTAGGGAATTTTAAGGTTGTATTGCTTATTGCATGACAATTATTGCTTGCGCAAAATTATCAGGGGTCATTAGAGGCCTGTTAAAAAATTTTGCAAACACTTGAGATGACTCGTGCCACCCTGCTATATTACGTATCGTATCGATGTTACCCCTGTTAATAGCTGCCAATATGGAGGCGTGTCTGGTACTATGCGCCGTAAAAAACAGATGTATCAATTCCACTCTTATTTAAGACCCAACGAATCCACCGACTGATAGACTGAGTGGTTGCTTCTTTATGGGGTTTTTTGTAAGTGAGGAAAAGTCGTGAAAGTTCCTGTCTGTTTGCCTTTAAAACAGCGGTCTTGTTTCTTGTATAGCACTTCGCAAGTACATACTTTTGGTTCTTTTTTTTTTTTAAATTATTAAAAAATTTTTTTTTTAATTCTAAAATAATTAATAAGAGTTGGTATTTCTATTGGGAGCCAAGTTGTCTTAATTCTTGGCTTGGAACTTTTATTTCTATTTCTATTTCATCTTTTTCCGATATTTTGATGTTTCGAACTTCTATTAATGAAAATGTTTGTACCCTGTGTGCCGTTATCAAGGCCATTACCTTCGATAATTTACGTGTCAACATTTCTCAACTAATTTTTTCATTAGTACAAGTCCTGCATAATTCCATAACTGTCGGATTCCATAAGTTGTACTCAGTAAAGGTGGTCGCTCTTTGCAAATTTGCAATCACCCTTAAAAATCTTTTAATTCTGATAACTTCAACAGACTCCAGGTATTATTAGTACCGCAAGAGAAAGTGTACAGTGTTGAATTTCAGCTATAAATGTTTACTGTTTTAGCAGGATTGCAAAAATACCACCATAATTTTAATCCATTTCCATATTGTTTTATCGATGACTCAATGTCAAAGATGATATCTCTCAATAGTCTCTTCTGGAACCTCTAACAATCCTGTCTAAAATGTCCTGCCGGATAAGAGACCTGCTTCCAGGGAAAGGTTGGTATATAGAGCATGGGGTGTCCTATCAATGCATAGTTATAATTGAGCATTAGGAGCAAAAATTAATGACTTTTTGATAAGTAGAGACTGAAATAACGGACCAGAGTTGACTTGGCCACCAGGGAACCACTACGATACCCTCATCTTATCAAATTATTGTAATTATTTTGCAGGAGTAATTATTTTGCATGAAAGTATAGTTTGCCCATAATACTATAAATGCTCAATAATTTCAGCCCTAGGATCTTTAAACTAAGAAGCAAATCTGCTACACTTTGCATTAATTCTGGAAGCAATTAAGTCAACTTCGGCGTTCGAACATGGCAAAATATTTTGAACCATAATTTGCAATCGTAAATCCAGTTTCAGTATCTAGGCAACGAGATTCTTTATCAGCACTAAAATCTTTGTGACTTGGTATAAGAAGCAAAGATAACTAAGTTGCGCTGTTCACACCACTCCAACATTTCCCTAGCAAGACTGTTAAAATGTGGGAACTGAATGCCACCCATTCTGTATATATATGAGATAGCCATGAAGTGTAGCATTATTTATCCTGCAATAATATTTCAAATTAACAAGATTATTCGCAAAACATTTTAGCCTTAAAAAATGTAAACTCGCTAAAATACTTTATGATTTTCATATTTTATCTTTTAGACCAAAAACCTGACACTTATCCCATTGCGTTTTAAAACGCCCCAATCCGTGAGGGAACTATGACTGAAATTTCTAGTTTACGGGTAAAACTATGAAAAGTATTTTTGCTAGAAAGGTGATCTTTCCACCACATAAGGTCAGTTAAAATATCAGAAGTAATTTTTATTCCATGTTTATAAGACCCATATGACTTTTTAGAGCTTAAATTCCTCCTTCGCTATTTTGGTATAAAGCCAATCATATTTGATATCTGGGCCAGCCGCGATAAAATCCCGATCAATTTCGCAAACTCT